CCAGGCACTGCCGACTGCTGCAGTCCCGGAGCTGGCAAGTGGCACACGGAACCGGTGTCATGGTCATGCAGAGACCATCATGTTTGAACAGGTAACTCCTGCACCCCACATCTCCCTCTCCAGATAAAACCCAGGCAGCAACTCCTTGGTACCCTGCAGCCATCCCCAGGATGGGGCAAGATCCTTGGCTGGATGCTCTCAGGAGAAGCTGCTGTAGGACAAGCTGCTCTGGCGCTTCCCGGCCACGACTGGCTCCCACAGGGCCTGGAGAGGATTTTTGGCAGCCATTAATCCCTCCTGACTTCCAGCAGTATTTGATGCACCCACAGATGTTCTCACTGTCTGCACAATTACTTGATCTCAACGGCCCGAGTCACCAGTTCATCCAGACTCCCCAAATTAAATGCTTTTTGCCCAAGGCATTAGTCTGCTGCATCCACATCACAGGCAGATGCCCACAGACAAAACCTTCAGCTCTTGGTGTTTCCCTTCAAAGCCATGTCAAAGCCAACGCGGTGGCAGCACCTGACACCAAAACAAGTTTGTCCCATAGGACGAGTGTGGAAGGACGGAAGCCTGGCTCGTGTCACGTCGGAATTGCGTCGCTCAGGCTGATCCTTGGTCTCGCACCTGGGTTCTGTAAGGCAAGGCCATGTTTCTTGGGTGGCACCAAATCGGAGGGCAGAGAGCCCCTGCCCTCCATGGGGGCTTGTGTGCCCCATGTGCAGAGCACAGTGACACAGGGCACACGCTGCTGCTGCAGCACGTCCTGAGCTTCTCCGCTGCCTTCTGCCCCTGACCTTTCCTAAGAAGCGGTTAAGAAACACACACAGGAAGTTTGAAAGCACAAAAGCATCATCTGCCTCTCGTCATCCACCTCTCACCAGCATGGGGCCGTGACACAGGCTACGGACCAGGCTGCTCTGGGCACAGGGACCCCCAGACCTTTCGCATCCCCGGGGTGGCCACGTTGCTAATGGCTCACTCCACTCATCAGCAGTCGCTCGCTGCTCCCCTCTGCAATCCTGTGCAATAGTGACTTGTGTGGGGTGGGGACACCCCTATGTCCCCTCAAGGGTCCCCTGCTCGGAGGGGCCAGCGCCGCCCTGTGCGGCACAGCCCAGCCTGCAGCAAGCCAAGCGCTTCCTCTTCATCCTCCCTCTCTCCATCTGTCCCATCTCCCCACGAGCCACGCGTCGTGCCGGAGGGGGGAACGCTGGGAGAAACGCCTGCTCTGGGGTCCTGGAGCTGACCCCAACATGGGAGCAGGGCCGGGGTGAGCTCAGAGGCGCTGCTCGACCCTGAAGCACGTTTCTTGGTTGCAGCGATGCGCTCTTGGGGCAGTTAAACTGAGCTGAGTTTCAAAGCACAGAAGCATCATCTACCTCTCATCATCCACCTCTCACCGTGCCCAGTGCTGTAGCTCCTCAGAACCTCAGCCAAGGCTCCTGGGCCCACAGGGATCTGTCTCTGCAGGCAGTGGTTTTTGGAGAGGGGCTGTGGATGGTCTGTGTGTGCATCTCGCATCACGCCTCGCCAGGCAGCAGCAGAGGGATCTGCAGGCAGGGCCCGTGCTCTTGCCCAGCGACAGGCTGCCACCTCTCACCGTGCCCAGTGCTGTAGCTCCTCAGAACCTCAGCCAAGGCTCCTGGGCCCACAGGGATCTGTCTCTGCAGGCAGTGGTTTTTGGAGAGGGGCTGTGGATGGTCTGTGTGTGCATCTCGCATCACGCCTCGCCAGGCAGCAGCAGAGGGATCTGCAGGCAGGGCCCGTGCTCTTGCCCAGCGACAGGCTGCCTGAGGGG